CAATTGTATCCAAATAATGAACTCGAGATATCTGTAATCTTACCTGAACGAAGTCCTCCGAGAGTTGTGTCATTTTCTGCGAGATTACGTGCAACATCTCCTCTTTAGAACGCATTGTTTCTACTAGGCAATCAAATTTCTTTGTCCACGGACTCGACGGAGGTGGAATTATTAGCTTCTGTCGCAGTTTTTTATAACTCTGTAAAAAAGTGTTAGTATCTCGTTTGAAAAATATATAAACAAGTGTTACAATTTAAAAGCTGTTAAATAATAATAGAATATATATATATATATATATATGTATATAAAATTAAAATAATATATAAAATTATTATAATATTATTATAATAATTTAAATCTCTTATTAAGAGAATATAGAGTTCATTTAACGACCGTGTTAAAAATAGAAAGATTCGGCTGTAATTCAATATGATTGCAGATGAGGAAACGAGAATATTGATTTTTGAATAAAATCTGAGCAACTTACGACGTTCACGAGATGCAGCAATTTCTTTATCAGCCAAATGCAGATAGTGATCACCCATGTGACTATCGTGCGGGAAATGTTTCTTCGTCGAGATACGTGGCGGCCGTGGGAGTCCCGAGGCGTTGCGATGTTTTCCGGCGCCTGTTGCTCTCTTTTATAAGGATCATCCCGACAATATTTTATCTGATTAATTGAAAAACAGAGAGAAAATTGTACTCGCGTTAGCAGAGTGAGAAGACAAGTTTGCGTTAAAGCGAACGAACGCCTGACGCGCAGCAATTCAAAATCAACCAATCAGAGAAGTGAGGATACACAAATATAATTATCAGAAATAGGATTTTTGATTCAAATTCCGCATTTAGGGGATTCCTATATTTTCTCAATGCATATCATATTGAATTACGCCAAGAGAGACTTTTTCTCATTGCTACATACAATAAATCGTTAAATTTTTCTCATATTCAATGATATAAAATTAGAAAAATATATTCTTATTGTATTCTGCGTACTTGTCATTTAATCTACAAATGTCCGCTTTGTTTCCGGCAAAAATAAAAAATGAATTTTCAAGATTTACAATTATCTGCCAATCAAAAAGTGTATATTTTTATTATTTCATAAATTTTATATAGATGAACAAAAATATATATTAATTTTAACTTTTTACAAAAGAATGCAAGAAAGAAATTTGTACGATTCCAATATGACTGTGTTGAAGAGTTTCAATTCTTAATTAAAGTGCCATAGGAATCAGTGGATCAGAGAATTCTACGCGCTTTTTAGAAAAACGATATAGAATTGAAAAAAAAAAAAAAAAGTGTATTCAGTGTATTCTCGCGAAATCGCCTGACCCTTTTTCCCCGCTATCTCGTCGAAAGCGAAAGCCCCCGAAAGATATCCGTGTTAAAATAAGATTAATAATAAATCCGAAAAAATAAGATTATATGTACTTTTTGCAGAGAATCGGCGCGACCGTCGCAGTTGATCAACTCGACATCATCTCGAGAGCTGATCGTTGTTTCCAAGATGTGATTATCCGGACGCGTTTCGTCGCGCAACGAGCGTTCCTCTGCCTTCGTCTTCTTCTCTTCCAGAAGCGAACCCGGGATCTCCGCGCGAGTCGCTGGTTGTCTGTGCCGGGTCATCCCTTCCTCATCTTCGTCTCCGAATGTCAGGGTCGTTCGGCAAAGTCGTTTCGCCAATCTGATGCGGGGTGTCGTGGACTCCCGGCTGGCGTTCTCAGTTTCCTCAGATCTCTCAAGCTGACGGGTCTCGCCCGCGACTGAGATCCGGACGTCACCGAGATTCGCCGGGCTTTTACGGATGTTCACCCCCATCGGCGAAGGGGTGCGGAGACCCACGGACGTGGGCAGGGATAATGTCGAGACGGAGATGTGGGGAAACCTTCTGTACCTGTGTAACAGGGATTCGCAACGCCCGGTCGTATTTTCATCGCAGATCCTCCGATTCACTCGCCGCAGGTACGCGAAGATCTTCCGGAACTCGCGCCAGTTCGCCGTCAGACGTTCGCCGATCTTCTCGAGCGTGACGTTAAATTTTTTACCGCCACTCGACGATCTCTTTCTTCTCTTTGCTTTCCCCGAGTCGTCTCGCTCCGACGACGATCCAACGTTGTCGTTGTCGGATTCGCCGTCGATGGATGATCCAGGCAACTTCGCTCGTCGCCCCTCGCCTTCGCGCGAGATCGCAACACGCGCGAGTTCCGAGACACGATCCTTCTCCAATTTGGAGGAAGAACGCGTAACGGCAATCGTCGATGATCGCCCGTCTAAATAGCTGTTTATTTCGCGCATAAAATTGTCATCATTTACCGAGAGCGTCTTGTCGAGTAAGTAACAATTATCCATCGCTTCAAGTACATAACGATCTGCCTGTTGCTTTGTATTTTCTCCCAGCGATCGTTCTCCATCGGAATTCGGGGCTTCTGGAACGTTCACAAAAGTGCACGCATTATTGCGCGGTTGGGACTCCGAGGCGTGACGACGAGGTACCGTCGGTTCCAAAATATTTTGACAGGCCACTTCGTTGATGGCGCTCGATAAGGTTCTTCCATTCGTGTTATGGTTCAACTCGCCGCTCAAGGACGATAAACTGAAGTAACTCTCTGCGAGATCTGAGAACTGGTCGCCAACGATCGATTTGGTAGCGTCTCCCCCCTCGCGTCCCCCTCCAGAGTCACCTGAATTAGGAAAATTGTTTATACATTTGGTATCGTGCTTAAAATTGCATGTTGAAAAATCCGGCTCGAAATGTTTGGGCGAAATCGGGTTCGATTGTTGGATCATCTGCGCGGCAATCCCATCGTCGCTTTCTAAGTCCCTGAAGATTTTCGTCGGCAATTTCGTTCTAGATTGCTTGAGAGTGATCTCCGGACTGAGTTTGTCGCTGCAGAGTGGATCCGCATTTTCCGATTCAAACAGCACCGACTCTGGAGAACGTTGATGACGAGATACGTCGTTCGTTTCTTCATTTTTATTTTTCGAATTAAAAAGCTTCAAGCGGACATTTTTCCGAAGGGATTCCCGTATCTTTCGGAATTTGGCTTTTTGTCGCGAACGTTTGTGCCCCTTACGTTTCCCCATGAAATATCTGTGTATTCAGAATATCACTATACAAAATGCAAGATCGTCTCGGTAAAACTATTAATGTTTCATTACACTCTTCTAAAACATTCTTATATGAATTAATTCTTCAATGCGCAGTTATCACAAAAAAAAACTTTCGCAGACAGGAAATTATTGTTACTTGTATGCCTGTAAGTCCCTTACTGACTACCTCAAGGTTGCCGCTTCGCATTATGTATTATTTATTTTGGTTTTTATGATGTAGTTTCTGTCATGCGCGTATAAATTCACCAATTAAATTCGTTATTTCAAAATTTATTTTCCTTTAGATAGTTTGTGTCGTATAAAATTGATCTAAATTTACAAGATCTTTTTTTTTTTTTGTTAAATGCAATCAAATTTTAATTTATAAAAACCGAATTTGAATTTATTTCACGAACAAAAGAATTTGATAAGAAAGAACGAGAGAAATATTTCTTATATATAATCGAAAGAGCGTTTTATTCAAATTACTACATGATACAAGAAATTATTTATATTCCAATTCTACAAAGTCTTATTTTATTTCATTCTGTATTTCATATATTCTAATTATAGATATATAAATTTTTTCAATAAGCTAATTTAGCTTTTATCTATAATACATAATTTATTTATAATACCTAATTATGGCATTTGATAGTCTGTTCCGTATTTTTATACATTTACATACATGTCAGAAGAAACAGAAGATATATTCGCGCTTGTCACGGTTGAAAAATTTCGGTTGTTGTATAGCTTATCGCAATTGCAAGACAAAGACCGGCAATTCTCACGCGCAATTCGACAAATCACGCTCTATTCAGCTAAGCCGAATAGATATCTCACTTCTTTGCGAACGCTTCTCCTTTTTGAATGTTTTTCTTAAGCTCCGGAATGGCAGCATCCAGAAGTTTCTGCTCGAAACTGCTTAGTTTACCCAAACCTAAATTCTTTTCAATTCCATTTTTCTGAAATTTCACAAAATTTCAATCTCCTATACTTGGATGTTTGGAATAAGATATATCTTCACATAACATAGCTTGTTTTTTTCTACTTACGCCTAAAAGTATCGGTGTGGAGAAGTATTTAGAATCAGTGACATTCGACCTAACATATGAGCACTCGATGATACCAGTTTCTCCATTGAGCGCTCTGATTAACGAGATGCCGAATCGCGCGCCGGCAAAAGCCATAGACAAAGTCGCGGATCCTGTTCCTGCCTTGGCCTTAACAACCTCCGTACCAGCCTCCTGAATCCTCTCGGTGAGCGCCTTCAACTGGTCGTCTGGGAAAGAAACTGAGGGTGTGCATTGCGAGATCAATGGGATGATAGTAATACCGCTGTGTCCTCCGATAACTGGGACATTCGTTTTTTGCGGATCAAGGCCCTGAAAAGTTGATCACTTATTAATATGATTATTTTCTTATATATATATATATATATATATATATATATACATATAGTATTGTTTTTGTGCTATATATTTTTTATACTATAATACTTAATTCTTTGCGTACAGAACAATTCGAAATTCAAATTAGATTCAAATTAATCTAACGGAATTGTTCATACTTGAGAGATAAGAAATAATATTTTAAGTAACTGAAATAATAATTTCTTTTTCCAAAATAGTATTATTAATTTTTTTCAATACGAAAAAAATAAACCATACAAGAAGTTCAGCTAAAAAGAAACAACCCTTCATTTGTCAAAACAGATGAAATCCAGTTTATTATGATTGCTATGAAACGTACGTATATTGGTGACGCTGAAATAATTTCTGCTTATAAAAGAACATAAGTTGGTAGTTTTTTTTACACAACATTTTCATACCTTTGCCTCTGCGATGAAGGTGTTTGCTCTGACGATATCCAAAGTGGTTACTCCAAACACGCGATTAGGATCATAGACACCCGCCTTTTGCAAAACTTCACTTGCAATTGGCACTGTGCTGTTGACTGGATTCGAAATAATCGCTACAAAGGCCTTTGGTGCGACTTCGGCCATCGCAGCAACGAGATCCCGGACGATGGAGGCATTCGTATTAAACAGATCATCACGAGTCATTCCTGGTTTGCGTGGAACGCCTGCGGGTATGATAACAACCTAAAAGTGGTGCATAAACAATTCATGAGTCACAAGGGCGTTGATTAAAGGGGGCGAAAACTAGTTAATTCTAATTTAACGAATTAAATAATAATTAATTTAAAAACTCAACTATTAAGTATTTGTAGCATAAATTGTATTTGTCAAATACATTGATATAATTTTGCAAAAAAAATTGATGAGTCATCAAGATTGAAAACATCGAAAGTCCACATTTAATGAGTTAAATAGTAACATTTTGGAATATAATTATCAGATATTTATCAAATAATCTTTTGTATCATAATAATACGTACCTGAGCGCCTTTAAGAGAATCTTTTAGCTGCTCCGGACCATTGTAAGCTTTAACTTTTGCCGGAGTATTTATATGCGAAAGATCGGCAGCCACACCAGGTGTATTTACGATATCATACAGCGATAATTCCGTAACAAGAGGCGACTGTTTGAGAAGCAACGATAGTGGCTGGCCAATGCCACCACTTGCTCCCATGACACTGACTTTTGTATTGAGCTGCAAAAGAATGTCAAAATATTAGCACATTTTTTTGAAAAAAATTATTTGCTTAGAATTGGAATCATTTGCTCGAGGAAACATAATTAAAAAAGTCAATCTTCAATCTTCCTCATATTCTCTTGGATATATCAGGTAAATTTTCTTAATCACAATTAAACAACAGAATTAAGTTACTTTTCTGATTTTTCAACCGATTTATTTCAGCAGGCATGAAGGCTCGATTCCAGCCAGCATGGAAAATACGTATCAAATACATAACAAAATTGTCAAGAAGATTCAGAATCATCCTTTCTGGCAATCAGATTCCGAAAGCATCCCGACGTGCCAGTTTAACGTGCGTGTCAGCACTGGGGCCGAATAATTCGCCGTTGCATAACAGCGCTCCGATTACGATTGCAGCATCGTGATCCGATGATATACGACGGGATAGGTTTCCCACGTAATTGATGTGTGACATGCGATACCCCTCCCGCGATTAATGTCGTCAGAGTAGGTCGATGGAAATTTTCGGTTATCGCATCGCTGACAATTCAACATGCCGCGAAGACGTGAGATTAGCCAGCGGCTCGCGCGCTAATAGAAAATAAATTTATATATGCATGCGTATAAATTAAGGCATATGTCAGATATAGATTTTACGTGGGAAGCAACGAGATATCCTTGGAGGCCTGAGGGAAATTCTTCCAAAAAACATTTTGGCATCACCCCGAGCGAAAATCGCCATCGCCGCTGGACGGATGCTGGGAGATAGCAAAAAAGCGTTATCGCCCCGCATTATGTTAGCAATGATAATTACGATCTCCGGCCGATTCACGGAAGACCGAATTGCATTTTGCTGACGTGATGATACTTTACCGAGGCACTCGTGGATAATCGCTTCGCGCCCTGCTGGGTGACATTTATGGCGGGCCTAAGGAATCGGGGCAGCATGTTGATGGCAGTGGGACGTCAAATGATCGAGAAAATCTTCAGGAGGAGAGTAACCCCGGATCGACCTCAAAAAACACTTATCGTGACCTCCACTGAGGATCCACTGACAGTGAATGACATTCCCCGAGTGGAGATAAGATCGAGCGCAGAGACCTCGTGCGGTGGAAATCTAAAGTTCAGAGATTATCGATATTGGATAATGTAATTTTCCGAAACACCATATTTCCCCCTTGCAATCTACTTTCCGTTCGAGAAAGTTGTGTCATGTGAGTTATGTCACATTTGAAATTATCAGCACCTTTCCGCGGTTCGTTCGATAAGTGATTGTTGTTAAATAAGAGTGTTACTTTCAGTCAATTAAGAAAATTATATAATATATAGATATTTTGTATTTCATTTCTGTTGATATTGCATTAATCTAAATTACACAAAATTAAAAAGAACAATGACGATTATCGGCTAAATTATTTACTTTAAAAAAATTAGTATCTTAAAAATACTTAAAAAAATTTTTATTTTAAAAAATTTATTAATATTTGCATCACCAAATGTTGAAGCAATAATTAAATATTATTATTAGCTTTTTACTTAACTGCTGAAGCTTCACAGCTTTTGCTGGTTTTGATACTTCGTCTTTGACAAATTGATTCGCTAACTTTGTATTAAGTTAATTATTCGTTAAACCATCGATGAAATGCCTGTCAAAGTATCTCGGATAAATTTTCGTAATTATGATTGAATTTTCGGGAGTTTGGAGGTAATTGAAAAGTATTAACATTATCGATTGTTGATGCAAAATTTTAAATATCTAAACGGCTGGTAATGCCGAATTAAATTATTATCATATTTAGATTCACATTATCAGATTTATTATCATATAAATGTTTTAATAAAAAAATATTCATAACACCTATTTATAATAATTATAATGTATTGATATATAATAAATATACACATTAGGAATATAAATAAGTATAAAAGCTGTACATATATTGATGCGCTTTTTCTATATTTATTGCTTTTATAAATAAAAAAACATGAATGATGACAATTAAAGTATAGTTTTAACTAAAAATAGAAGAATTTTAAATTATAGATGTATGTTTATGTCTATAAGATTGTTTAATATCTCTTATCAATGACTATACCCTACTTTAGAAAAGGGAAGAAATCTTTAATAGGATTTTCTCTCTAGGGCAAGACTTAGGGGGAGAAAGTAAATTTATCAAACTTTCTTTTTTCTTAAAGTAGACACACTTAATTATTAAAGTAGATAACACGTAGTCTATATTTACGACGTCTATAGAATAATATTTATATTTATAAAACATGTTGCATAAAAGTGATGAAATAAAAAGATAAACGGACGTGAAAAAGAAGTAAATTTATGTCTTTCTTTTTTTTCTTTTATTATCTTTCTTTTATTTTTAATTTAAATTTTATATATATAATTATTATTTAACAATACAACTGATATAAAGTTTAAAAGAGGAGAAATTGAAAACGTCGCGATTCAATAAGTTTGAACGTTACACTGGCTTACTATTGGTACGACCCTGTTTTTTAAGAGTCAAGAAGAAGTAACGTGATTGCGAAAAGGGGTTGCTGATATAGCAAACTACATAGAAAGGGAGTGACTTGCACTACCGGCTCGAGTTATTTAATTGTGGGCAATTAATTTCAATCATATTCAACGATCGCACAATTATGGGTCTACATTTGAAAGCCCGTGGGAAAATTATTCGCATAAATATATTTACAAATGAATAAAGAACAAAGTGAGTAAATAAGAAAATTGTTTGATCGTTCAAACTTGCTTTCGCATTTCGTCACTTTGTGTTAACGCATTTTTTATTATTCCTTTATTATATCACTTAAAATCACTTCATATTCAGTAAACCTCATATTCAGATACTTACTTTTTTATGCAACTTGTATTAATCGATATTTATTTTTTAGACGCAGTCTCTAATGAGCATTATATGTCTTTCAACCGGGCTTTTATTTTCTAAAAATAAAATAAAATTTAAAAATTTCTAAAAATAAAATAAAATTTAAAAGTAAAGGTAAAGCAGAAGTAAAATAATTCCCAGTTAGGGGCGTGTGTCTCAATGGCATTTGCAAAATAATATCGATTAATCTTGCGGGTTGAAGAAACTCTACTCACGTCGCGACCGGCCGGACGCCAACGCAATTCCCTCGATGCGTGGCGTCGACTGGTCGCCGCTACCCCTTCCCGATATCTTCGCATGAAAGCGTTACGATTTATGCGCGAGGAGCTGCGGGATTTCGCAATGAGAAAATATATACGCGGCAACGCGACGAGTAAGTAGCCACTGGCTAAAAGATAATAATTCCATGATTATTTCATAAGGAGGGGCGCAGAGAGGGAGGGAGGGAGGGGAGGGGAGGGGAGGGGGGGGAGGGGTAGGGAGACGTCCGAAAGGGGGTTCGCGAGTGTAGCACACACCAGAGGAGAAACGAAGAGCTAGTTAGTGCGTCTTCTCTTTGAATACATGTATACACAATGAAATTTATAGCTGATAGGGGTAGAGTAATTGTAAAGTACCGCTGAGTGTTGAGGAGGGAGTTGAGCGAGGAGCGACCCGGGGTCGATCGGGGGGTAGCCCTTGAATATGGAAAAGGTCGCGCACGCACCCCTCTTAGTAGAGTAGTATAATAGAACGAAAACATCCCGGTAGGCCTGAAACGGACCCTTAATTACATTTCGACTGCCGCTCTAACAAACGCGCCACTGCGAGAACTTTCGTTTCCCTTTTCTCCCCCCCCCCCCTCCTCCTTTTTTTTCCCGCGCAGCGGGGTTGCGAGCCATCGCAACAGGCGGCCGTTCCTCGAATTTTCCCCAAAGCTTCATAATACGTTGCTCATACAGCCGCCGGCTGAGAGCGGGTCGTGAAATCTGTATCCAATGTGCCGGATGTAATATCTGCATGAAATACAGATTCCGACAAGGCCAAATCTCTACTTCAACGCTCTGATAATCTGATTACATTGTTTAATAATACTGATATTTTGACGGGCAAGTATTCGATAAAATCAGCCTCAGCCTTTTATGAAACATGCGTGCAATTTTTTTTTTTAATTAATCGGAAATTTTGTCACGGGGCACGTTGCTGCCGTGACTTTGGAAATGTCGAATATCGGAGTAAGTAATAGTTTTTGTAAAATAAATAAATTCCATATTTATATTACAAAAACAAGAGGAGCAACATCTCTCTGCCGTGTCATTTTCTCTTCTTTCCTCATCAACATGAGGGGGGGAAAAAAGGGAAAAATGACAGGGCAGAGAGATCTTTGACGCCTCGAGGAAAATGCAGCCCGGCATCTTAATAACAGGTTGCATTACGATAACGGAATAAAGAACACGAATCATAAATAGCCTGGCTAGATAAAAAATACCGGATTGTGTTAAGGAATAGAAGCCAGCGTAAGAAAAACGCGACGTTGCGGAACTTTCAGTAAGTCACATTTCTGCTACAACGTCGTAAGCTCGTTCTTTCGATCCCACCCCCTCCGCCCCCCTCCCCCCCTATTCCTCTTCAACCACTTTCACCCACCTGTCCACTCCCGTTCTAAGGTTGAATGAAAGTTTTACGAGACTTAAAGTCAAAAATAATCTACAAGATCTCTCAAGGAAAGAGGTTGCCTGTAAGATAGTAAGAGGAAAATAATCCGAATGAACAGGATAAAAAAATTCAAGGAAAGATGAAAGGAGGAAATTACTTTATTTCTAAAGTCAAATATTACGATGATAACAAAAATCTTATTCTCTCAAAATTGGAAAACTGTTAAATTAACTGAGAATTAATAAAGCATCGATTTTCTTATTTTTCAAAAAGAACTAAAAAATTTTAAGCATTTTAAATTTATATTATATTTGCTTACTGCCTCTGCGATAAATATTCAACTTTGTATATGTTAATATTGATTTTTTTAAATATTAATATGTTTTTAGAAGTGTAACTTTTAGTAGAATTTATATTTGCGAACTACTTTATAAGGTAAAACACACACACACACACACACACACACACACACACACACTTACATATACAGATATACAAATTATTAAATAATAATCCTTAAATTTTCTAGCTTTTTCTGTCAATTTTCAAAATTTATTGTATCTTCAGAGAAAGTAAGGAAATTTCTTTCTTATTTAAATATTGTGTTACTTCAAAGTGACATACAATATTTAAATTTTTTTAGCTTTTTCTACAAAAACTTTTTGCACTTTCAGAAAAAGGTGATGATTTTTTTGTTTGAAAGAACGTTTGTGTATTTTAACGTGATATTATCCAAAAATGCGCGTTTATAAGTTTAGAATAATCCAAAGTGGCAAAGATGCGCGTGCCGTCCAATTGCCTTAGATAGAAAATAACGTAAGTCGCATCTCGCGGGATTTGCATTGTCTACTGGATTTCTTTCTTTTACCGGATCTTTTTTTTATTTCTATTGCATACGTTCTCTTGTTTATTTACAAGACGCTCAAGGTGGAACCGCCTGACACTCGCTCTCTCTCCCTGGAGACTATCTCGTCTGACATTGGACATTAAGTAAAAGCTCCTGACCATGTTTACTTGATCCCGCGAATTATTCAGACGTGAGTACTGATGGCACTTTACATAATTGCATAGTATGCAATATATAACAATGCAAATTGCCATCAGTACTCATTCAAATCATTACTCTTTTGTATTTATTTGTTCTCCATTAGTATTATATAATTTAATGTTATTTTCTTTCAAAAAGAATTAATATAATTTTCTTTTCAAACTCGATCACATTTATCACATATCATTTAATTAAGCATGGCTTTTTTTCCTTTTTAAAATACATGCTTATACAAAAGAGAATTTTTTTTTTTAATTCTTGACGAAAATAATTTTTATTTAAAATAGAATACATTTTTTTTTTTTTTAAATCGATTTGATTATCTAGTTTTATTTTAAAACAAGTTGTAACAGAAAAATTGTTCTTAAAAGAAACGAAATTTATTCTTCCTTTTTCTTTAATTCAAAATTATTTAAAATATATTAACAGAAATTTATTTTTCTAATTTTCAAATCCAAATTGGATTTATATATAAATGCATATCTACAAATATGTATTTGTGTGTGTGTTTTAATGTAACAA